ATAGCTACAGGGGTTTGTTGGTGCGGCAAACACGCTGGTAGACAAGACGGAGGTAGTCAGGTAACAGCGCAGCCTTCCTCTACATTCATATCAAGTTCAGCTCTATCTTTCCTTGGTATGTAAAATATTCATTTAAATTGCAGAACATTGCTTGTTGTCGCTTGTTGTTCGTTAAGTATATATGAGAAAATGTTTACTTATTTGATAAATGAATGATGGTATCAAGGCGAATGTATTTGAACTTTGAAATCTGATTGTAATGTTGGAATCAGACAAGGGGAATCTGTAGCCCCACTTCAATTTTCCTTGTATTTGAATGATATAGAATGGTATTTTACACAACATGGTTGTACAGGTTTGCTGATCGATCGACTTACACTTGATTGTTTTGTCTGTAGGTATTGCTCTAGTTCTATTTGTGCTTCTGTTTTATACTTTTTAAAGAAGGGGGAACTTAATTTTTAATTGATAATTGAAAACAATTGGGAGATATATCGGAGTCAATCAATGTTGATCTGATAATAATGAACGTTTTGAGAGTGGATCACCACTTGTACTTCCTTATGACCATAGTTGTTTGTACAGTAACAGCTTTTGAAAGATGATTGGTGTATGACGTGAAATGTGCATGTGTACGATTTTCTTTTTCTTGTGGTGCAAGATGACTGTCAAAATTAATGTAATACAGTGATTTATCGACCTTCTCGAAAACTGTCAAAATCAAGAGTGACACTCGTTGTGCCCGTGCATCCCATGCGTTGTGTTGGGGTGATGATCAAGAGAAATGGTGGTGCGTTCATAAGATATATGGTTGACGTTCACGTAAGCGTGGGCCAAGGTCATCCCACAAATGCTCGATGGGGTTGAGGTCGGACGATTTGGAAGGCTATGGACGCACTGTAATGTGAAGATATTGAATAGTGGCATGTGCTGTGTGAAGCATGGCCTTATTTAGCTGGAACAACTCCTCTGGCGGTTAATGATCGGAAGTATTTCGCATCGAACCGAATAGCAGTTAAATTGCCCTGAAAGCGCAAACAGTTAGATTGCGGCATGTAGGATATAGCTACCCACATCATGACGCTATCAGCATATCGGTAAGCCTGGGCGACACAATTCTGATTAAAACGTTGATTTTCCGTCACGGCACTGAAGCAGAAAGCATGATCCGTCACGGAACCAAGGCAGTTCTGTATCGTCTTGGCATGGGCTGTATCGTCTTGGCGTGGACTTCTGGCCCATTCTCTAAATATCCAATTAATAATATTTAAGAGATGAGTTTGGTAAAAAGGACTGTTTTGGAATGTGTAAAATGATAAATAATTTTGTTTCTATTTTCAGGTTCGCACATCATGGCTACCAACGCGGTTTTTGCTATTTTGTGCTTAATTGGTGAGTATTAGTGTGTGAGGATAATAGTTTCGAGACCTCCGTGACCTACTTTTGAAACTAATAATTCAATGGGTGATCGCAGCTGTCATTTTCAAGAGTATATTGTGTGAGTGGTCAGAATGCTTATGAGGACCACGAGAAATCTTCACCATACCGACATCGTTACTCAGTTATCTTGGGGTGCTTTACTTGTTATGTCCCAGAGAAGACTGACTGACTGACTGAGTTTGGGTTTTACGCCGCTTTTAGCAATATTCCAGCAACATCACGGCGGGGGACACCAGAAATGGGCTTCACACATTATACCCATGTGGGGATTCGAACCCGGGTCTTCGGCGTGACGAGCCAACGCTTTAACCACTAGGATATTTTATTCTTAAATCAGTGTATTAAGGGCATACGAGCACAAAGCACAGCTCATCTTCAATTGCATTTTATGTACAATTTACACAATCTGTTTCTCTTGGAATGTTATATCTGCCCTTCTCTACTCAGAATACGCAGTAACATTACAACGATACAGAGAAGGTTAGCTGCCCCTTGGCAATACAGTAGTCTTACACTTGTCACCCAGGTCATCTTATTCACAGAAATAGTTTGTACAGAGTTGTGTCCCTTGAGCGTAGCAGTAACTCGTGATTCTGGGTTCGTATCTTCGACACGTCTGATTATGAATACACTGACCATGACTTGATGGACAATTCTACTTATCTGATATATAATGAAGCTAGGATTTGCTGAGGCGTCAGTCAGTGATCCTTAACGTCAAAAGGTAAACATCATCCCCAGAGAGAGCCTGGTGAAGCTGAGACCCATATTTCTATGATTATACTATTAATGTGTGACGTCACGTCACCATCTGTGCTGGAAGAAAAGTACTAATTTTAATGATATCATTTTTAACCATATATGGCTTTATGCTATACGTAAATTTGTACCCCCAGTTTGTAAACGTATATCGGGGCGGTGTGGTAGTCGAGTGGTTAAAGCGCTCGCCCGATACGCCGATGGCCGGAGTTCGATTCCCCAGATCGGTATAATGTGTAAGACACCATTTCTGGTGTCCCCCACCGTGATAATGCTGGAATATTGCTAAATGAGGCGTAAAACTAACTCACTCACTGTAAACATGACCATGTGTACGTGTTTCGCCATCGTGGTAAACCTTTATTTATAGAGAGAGATGTGTTTTTATTTATTTATTCCTGTGGGGTTGTATGTTTCTCATATCAGTCTGACACCCTGTGTTATAACAATGATAATGTTCATAAAAGTGTGTCCTTAAATTAACCTATGAATTGTTGTTATCACAGTGTAACAATGGCATCCAAAACTGGGTGTTCCATGTTAAAAATGTTTTATTTATATATGGTTTTGGATATGTTTGGTGTGACCCAGGATGTGTTGACGCTAGTACGTTTTGTTGTCATTTTAAGCAACGCTTAATTGATTGTTTCATTCAAAAATGGCATCATGACATTACTTCAATTAGTATATATTATGGCTATACAGCAATATCAAATATGAATTTGGATATGAATATATTTAGATGCTTTACATCCAAACACTGTTAGGTATGTTACGAATTTCGTGTCATAAATTAAAATTGAAACTGGGCGTTATAAAAATATTGATCCCATCTAAAGATAGTATTGCAAAATTATGAAAATACATATAGTTATGCATGTAAGTACCGAACTGTTTTGTCCAGCATCCAAGACAACTCACTTCAATCCCTCTTAATCACTCACCATATCTACCTTCATTATTTTAGGTGGACAGTATCTACTCTTGACTGAGGTAAGTATCGAGGTCCCCTGTTAAAATAGATCCCATGTACTTGATGACGTCACAGATAGGCTTGGCCATTTGTTGCGTGCATATCTTCGTGCCCTGACTGGATGGGACATTGTAAGAAGTCAACAACGTCTCCCTGGGGGATCTTTTTCAAGATGGCGGCATATCCGATGGAGTGATCCAACATGGCGGACGCATTTCAAGATGGCTGACGCGTTTCAAGATGGCGGCTGCGTTTCAAGATGGCGGCCGCATTTCAAGATGGCGGCCGCGTTTCAAGATGGCGGACGGAACGCATTTCAAGATGGCGACGGACGGGGAAGGAGAGGGAGGGAGAGGAGAGAGGGAGAGAGGGAGGGAGGGAGAGTGGTGAGGACGATGTAGGCCTAGAGAAGCGTGTTGTTAAAGCTTTGTCAGCTTTCTTTTGAGCGGGATGAAAAGGGCCGTTGGTATTAGTGGGTGAGACATCACCGAGGCATGGCATCTAGGTGATGGCGGGCCACTGGAGGAGGTACTGGTGGAATCGTCCATGGGTGTACATGTTGTCTGTGCGATCATGAACGAGGAGGACCCTGTCATTGAGTAGAGCCAGTAGATGTTTGCTTTCACGTTTACTCACTTTCTTTGGCGGTTCACTTGGCTGGTTGGTGGGAGCTGGGCGTTTCTGGGTCTTATTAGAGCAGTTCATACTCTTATGGTCCTCTTTACCACAGTACCGGCAGGGGTGTGGGCAGTCGTAACTGAGATGCCCTTCGTTTTTTTCCACAGTTGTAGCAGGTGTTGTTATCGTGCTTGTTACTGTCGTTGGTCTTCTTTGGACATATGTAATGACGATGGCCTTGAACACCACATTCGGTACAGGTCACCATGTGGCAGTGCAGATAACTGTGGTCAACTGTTTTGCACAGGCGGCAACGGAAGGAGGTGGAGGTGGGAGAGGACTGCATGCTTCCAGTTTCAGTCAGCAACTGATGCGGAGAGTTTTATAGCTGAGGTTGATTACGTCACTTTTGGCAGCCGGGTTAGTGTGGCGTGACGTAATAGGGTGTGTGACGTAATGGGCAAAACCCATGGGCAAAACCTATGGGAAAAACTCATGGGCAGGCCCATGGTAAAAACCTAATGAAAGAAAACCTGTGACGCCATCAATCCAAAAAAACATAATGGCTTCATGGCGCAAATTACCTCACGCCACCCTTTATGATGAACCTAGTGTGACGCCATAGTGTTTTCCAACAAATGATCTCACACACCTCCTTGCGCATATTGCCTCACACCACTCTTAGGACAGAATAGGGTGACGTCTATATAAACCAGGTTCAGCGTGAGTCTTGGCAGTTTTCATCATGCAGTCACCACCAATGGAAATAGAAGAAGATGAACTTGAAGATACGCCCGTGCCCTACCAGTTGAAGCCGACGTCCAAAAGAACAACCAAGAAGTTCCGGACCGACAGCCATCGCTTTAAGCTGAAGTTCAACCAAGCTTGGCTGCAGCGTCAACAACCTGAAGACTTACACTAGGTTCATTATAAAGGGTGGCGTGAGGTAATTTGCGCCATGAAGCCATTATGTTTTTTGGATTGATGGCGTCACAGGTTTTCTTCCATCAGGTTTTTACCATAGGTTTTGCCCATGGGTATTGCCCATGACGTCACACACCCTATTACGTCACGCCACACTAACCCGGCTGCCAAAAGTGACGTCATCAACCTCAGCTATAAAACTCTTTGCATCAGATGCTGACTGAAACTGGAAGCATGCAGTCGTCTGCACCCCTGCCGGTACCGTGGTAAAGAGGACCATAAGAGCATGTACTGCTCTAACAAGACCCAGAAACGTCCAGCTCCCACCAACCAGCCAAGTGAACCGCCAAAGAAAGTGAGTAAACGTGAAAGCAAACATCTACTGGTTCTACTCAATGACAGGGTCCTCCTCGTTCACGATCGCATAGACACCATGCACACTCTACTTCAACATGTCTTGGACTTTGTTGAACCCATGGACGATTCCACCAGTACCTCCTCCAGTGGCCCGCCATCACCAAAATAGATGCCATGCCTCGGTGATGTCTCACCCACCAATACCAACGGCCCTTTTCAGGGCCGCCCATCCCGCTCAAAAGAAAGCTGACAAAGCTTTAACAACACGCTTCTCTAGCCGTACATCGTCCTCACCACTCTCCCTCCATCCCTCCCTCTCCTTCCCCGTCCGTCGCCATCTTGAAATGCGTTCCGTCCGCCATCTTGAAACGCGTCCGCCATCTTGAAATGCTTCCGCCATCTTGAAACGCGTCTGCCATCTTGAAATGCGTCCGTCATGTTGGATCGCGCCACCGGAAGTACCGCCATCTTGAAAAAGATCCCTGGGAGACGTTGTTGACTACTTTCGTGCCCTGACTGGATGGGACATTGTACATGGCCCAAGGTTTAGAATTGATCTTCGTCAACCCATGCTTGTCGTAAAAAGCGACTATTATTAATACTGCAAAGCGCGTCGCTAACAAACAAACAAATATAAAGTATACATAAAGTCTGATCTCAATATACACTTTTTCCTACTTCGTAGATAACCTTTGTATTTTTACACAAGTCATGATTTTTCCAGGGAGCATCCTATGAGCTGGCCGCTAGAAAGAACAGTATATATGCTTCAATTACTAAAGACGAGTTTGAGAAGCTGGACACGACCTTGATGGACGTGGTCAGTACGACTCACATCTTTCAAGAGGCACACAATGATACTCTGACATTTTCGGGTCGGGATGCAGCCATTAATGCGGGGAATTCCTTCGGCTTGACGGATGAAGAAACCCTGGCAGTAATGATCTATACTACAAATTATGTATACACAGAATTCAACAGAATACTGAGAGAGGGTGACATCGCCAAATACGACCAGTCATTCCAGGTCTTTCATTACCTCCTTATTAACGCCATTGAGAAGATACGTCTGAAGCAAACTCTTCCGGAATACCTGTATAGGGGTGACGAGAAGATATATTCCATCGAATACGTAACCGATATGCGTTTCCCTGGATACACATCGACCTCATCTGATGAATCTGTAGCCAAAGAATTCCGCGGAAGCACGGGCACTCTCATTCACTTGGAGGGAGTTAAGTTAGGCGCTGATATTGCCAGCCTTTCGGTAGTTCCTTCGGAGGCAGAAGTCTTGATCCCCCCCTATGAACGTTTCAAAGTCACCAACGTTGACAGGGACGACAAAGGCCCACTCTTCTACCTGGAGAGTATTGGGGAGATGTGCGGAGGTCGTCGACGACGATCCACGGGAGGGCCGTGCCGATGCTGTAGACAGCCGTTAGACGTAATCCGTGAAGCCACGAGTGGATGCGTCCGGCAACAGATGAAGTGGAACGTTGTCTACTTCTGTTTAGTGGTGTATGTCGTTGTTAGATATTGATATTAGCAAATCTAACAGTTCAAGCGCAGCACCACTTTATACACTTGTTCATTTGGTCATGTACATTTACATGGTTGCATAAGTTGATTGACATCTCATAGTTTTAGCCCGTTTCAAGACGGTTGAACAATATGTAACTGCCAATTCAAATGTTTAATGTCAGAGTGCAAGCCCTTACATTAAAATAATCTGTATAGTTCAGTTTGCGTTTTACATTTGTTCAGTGCAATGTATTCGGGAATGTTGTTTTATTATTAATATCAATGGCGGATCCAGAGGGGGGAGGGGAGGAGGGGCCGACACCCCCTCTCCCCCCAAAAAAAATAAAAAATAAAAAAATAAAAAAAATTCCTGGATCCACCCGTGAATGTGAGTTCAGAAAGTGCCCTGTTTCCATTAGGTACAAAGCATGTATAATTCATTGGCAAACGTCATTTGTGTGGGCAATGATTTGTGTAGTTAGTCAAGGACTCGAAGGCGCTATAATCCGCTAGCGGATGTTCTATATTGCTTCAACCTTATCACTTACAAGACTGGAGGAAAATTCTGGGTATGAATGAAAAAGTCCCCAGCAATAACCGCTTGTCGTAAGAGGCGACGTAATGGGTGTCAGACTTGGTTGAATGCAAGTGAGTGAGAATGTTTTTACGCCGCCTTAACCCATGAGAAGAATTGACGCGTGCTGGTGGATAGGTTGTTTGTTTAACGCCGCACTCAGCAATATTCCAGCTATATGGCGACAGTCTGTAAATCATCAAGCCTGGACCAGACAATCCAGTGATCAACAGCATGAGCATCGATCTACGCAACTGGAAGACATGTGTCAGCCAAGTCAGTGGGTCTGACCACCCGATCCCGTTAGTCGACAAGAATTAATTGCTGAAGACTAATGCTGGAGACGATACTGCGATCGTTATGAACGAAACGCGCACGCACACACCCACACACACGTATCTTCACGATTAGAGCGTCTGCTCGGACCGGGGGATTCGTTCAATCCCAAACAGAAAAACTTTATGACACGGTACTTGTCACCATGCCTGGCGTCCCCTCATTAAGTGGGGAAAACAAGTATATCCTTAATGTGTCTGAATTACATATCCACGATAAAGCTACTTGTGACTTAATACTGCAAACATGTCATTAATCCAGACTAGCACCAAAAGCCGCAGGTGCACGCACATACATGCGCATCTAACATGTCATTAATCCAGACTAGTACCAACAGCCGCAGGTGCACGCACATACATGCGCATCTAACATGTCATTAATCCAGACTAGTACCAACAGCCGCAGGTGCACGCACATACATGCGCATCTAACATGTCATTAATCAAGACTAGTATCAACAGCCGCAGGTGCACGCACATACATGCGCAGATGCGCATATATTGCTACCTGTATGTAAGTGCAATACACATGAATACGACGTTAAACCTAACAGCCCTTCAACCATCGATGCTCATGATGTCTGTTACTGGATTTTCTGGTTCAGAGTGGTGCGTTTCAACAATAATGAGTCCAGTGTCGTATACGTGGTGATGAAGACGTCAGACGCTGATGAATGAATCGTCTAGGAAGATGAACATTTCTTCTAGGTAGATGAAGGTTCCTTCTTCGTAGATGAACACAGTGTTGTAGCCCAGTGGTTAAAGGGTCCGCTCGTCATGTTAAAGACCCGGGTTCGATTCCCTGCATGAGTACAGTGTGTGAAATCCATTGGTGATGTTCCCCACCGTGGTATTGCTGGAATATATTGCTTAACTCATTCACTCACTGTGACCATTTGAATAACTTGAAGATTTTATCATTTACATTAGATTTTTTGTTGTATTTTCACTAACAACAGTTGCAGATATGGGTGTGAATATCTGCCTCTTATCGGGTCCGACCGCCTCCGTTATGTAGTGGTTAGAACGTCAGCCCGGAGAGCGGAAGGTCACGGGTTCGATCCCCGACCGTGTCATACCAAAACACGTTAAAATATGGTACTTGTTGGTCCCTGCCTGGCACTCGGCATTAATGGGTACAACAAGGACTGGTCGACTCGGAGTCAGTATACTGTGTCTGAGTGGGGTATTCATGCTTCACTGCGGCATGGCATCTCAGTGGGCTAGCACTATAAAACCAGCTTCAGTCTGGGCTAGTACAAGCAGCCGCACATACACATACACACACATGCACGTTGTCATATTAGCGAAATATTCTCAAGCACGACGTAAAAACCCAATTTCACCTCACCTCGCCTTATCGGGTCCAGCAACTCACGATGTGAACACAATAGATACAAAACAGGTTTACAATGACCTCACACTCAGAATTCACACCAAACATGATTCAGTGAACGGGTTGTCTGCCAGTTGTCTGAACTTGTATCTATAATGTAACCTTGCTTCCATAAATCTGGTGACATTTGAAATGATTTCGCTGAAAAGCGTGTGAAGGAAGAGTCAGAAACGTGAAGTTAAACATAGACACAGAGTTTAAAAGTAAAGTCGATTACCATAAATATATTATTTTCTCGTAGCTATTTATTATCACATTACCAAACTAATAATTACCTGAAGATGTCGGAAAACGCACGTAAAATCTCGTCAAGATCGTCAGAGAAAACACTCATCAATGGGAATCATGAGAGCCGTAATGTTTTGTTTATAAAAAGTGCGTATTTAAATCACTCACTGGTTGACACATGTCATCGGTTCCCAATTGCGCAGATCGATGCTCATGCTGTTGATCACTGGGTTGTTTGGTCCAGACTCGATTATTTGCAGACCGCCGTCATATAGCTGGAATATTGCTGAGTGCGGTGTAAAACTAAACTCACTCACTCGAGTCTACGCAAGATACCCAGAGGCATGTTGCCCCTGAAGAAGGCGATTATTAATAAATATTAGAGTGGCAAGAGGTATCCTTAAGATGACAACCTTTTAATAACTAGGCTACGCCACCATCCCACTTAACCCTGTAATGATCCAGGGGCGGTGGGGTAGCCTAGTGGTTAAAGCCCGGGTTCGAATCCCCACATGGTCACAATATGTGAAGCCCATTTCTGGTGTCCCCCGCCGTGATATTGCTGGAATATTGCTAAAAGCGGCGTAAAACCATACTCACTCACTCACTGTAATGATCCAACATGAGCTACCAACAGTCATAGCTTCAATGTCGCTTTGTTTAAACTTTTGTTTAGGTTGAGTCCTATTTGGGATTCGAAACCACGCTCTCAGAATCAGGAACCTAATCGCCAGCACATAAACTGTGGCAGAGTGGGTTAGATGGCTGAGTGGGTTAGATGACTGACGTTGTGTTCTGGCGATTAGGTGCCGGACTGTGAGAGTGTCAACCAGAGATATTAGAATCGATACTTTACTGCGAAAGTGTAATCTCAAATATAACGTGTTACATTTGACCACTTTCAAAATGTTAATGTCTATTAAAAAATACTGTTTTGCCAATACACAAATAACACAAGTAGATGCAATAGCGGAAGTGTGTATTTATATACAATACAATAATTTATTACACAGATGTGAGAATAATACTGAACAGGTGGTTAGAAAAAAGATAAAAAAAACGTGTATAGATATTCACTTCTCTATATTTAAACATCGTAAATCTTGAAATCTCAACATGCGGGCAATATTTACTTGAGCGTTATGTCACAAGCGGCATTGGTTCGTTATGCGTTAATCCAAACAAGGTCACAACACCTTTTGTTCACAATATTCACTTCTCTATATTTAAACCTCTTAAATCGGGAAACCTTAACTTGTGGGCAATATTTATATACGTGAGCGTTAAATCACAGGCAGCCTTGATTCGTTATGTTTTAAGCCCAAAGAGTTCACATCACCTCTTGTTCACAGTAAACACACAAGTGACTCGGAGACAGATCCATACATGCCTCATACACATCGTTTTGTTACGTAGAGTTTGAGGTTTATTGCCACGTGTGATATCCACAAATATAAAATCAAACGTTCGGAAAATTGGAATACTTTTCTTGGGTAAATGGCTTCTTAAACAAGTCATTATCACACAAATAAGTAATGATAATTAGCATGTCTGTCCAGGCATCACTGTTGAAAAAAAGATCATCTGTTGTGTCAATAGTTTATCACCAGAACCCCGAATATATGAATATATTCAAGCTAAAATGAATAATTATTGATCGATGATTCATTGGTTTTATATTTGCAATAGGCTGTGGGGAAGTAAAAAATAATAATTAGTTGAAATTACAGGGATTTGGGGGACGAACTTCATAATTTTGAAACTAACCAGATCGGTGAAACTGGTTCTGTGATTTGCGCCGATTTCGTTTGTGTTGAAATTCTGGTGTTGTTGATCTGGGCAGTTACTGCAGGTAATCTGGGGGTATTCTATACCACGTCGTATCACACACTGGGTTTCTCATAATACTGAGTGGATGCAGGTTAATATGGTAAAATATAACACATAATATGCATACAATATATCACATCTACGTCGTCTAATACTGACATACATATCGTATGTGCACAATGTATCACATCGACATAGTTTAATACGTTTAATACTGACTTTGAGCAGGGAAGAATAGCAGCGAATACTACGTCAGTTAAATATACTAACTTATCATATCTACATTGTCAGTGACTGTGTGCAAGCTATTTGGTCCAAAATAGGAACCAAGTTTGTATCCTTGCCGGTAAATTTGATTGGCGAATGATTGTCTTTTAATCGACACAAAATATCACGATTCAATGGATTGTTGTGTGACAAAAATGTCCAAAAGTTACAAATGTTTACCACAACAACAACAGGTTAACAATTAACATAACGAAGATAACGATGAAACCATTGAGTCAGACATTCAAATTATGACTGAGTTTGTGCAGTTGTCGTTTCCGGTCCTGTCAAAGGCTGTGCCCGGATGTTCGGGTGTACAAGGAGGCGCGTGTTGTCGTTTCCCAGCTGTTGTGGATGGCCTTGAGACTGGGGCGGTCAAGTTCAGGCTG